GGAATGGATTCTTCCATTCCAGTGTATTATCAGTAATGGTCTATGAGGAGTTGAAATTTTGGTATGCATTAAAAATATGGACCAGAACTTAGTGATAATAGTTTGACATAAAAACGTAAATACAAATTTTATGTAATTTCTGTACTTATTCTCATTTTTAGGAAGAAATGTAGTACCATTCTCTGTTACCCTAGGTTACCCTAACCTGAAAATGTAATTACAAAATTATTGAAAAGTATTGATTAGTAGATTAATGAGTAAATTAAATTAAGCGAGAATAAATTAAATTTTACATTATTTTTTCTGTAAAAATTTTCCAAACTTTGAAATTTAGTTTAACTTTCATAGAGAATGAGAATTCTAGGAATCTAGTGACTTAATTTTGTTGGTAATATTGACGGAAAAACGTATTATACTAGTATCGGTGGATTAGGAAGAACGATACGCGGATCGATGGTAAACATTTCATTAAAACGCACGGAAAGAAAGCGGAAGCATAAGGTGGGCATGGAAGAACGGATAATCCTTCGATAATCCGGGAATCATTCTCGGGAATGAATCGCTCTATCGATCCGAGGGAATATAATTGAAAAAGTTGTTCCTTTGCTCTTGTCGATCGAGTTGCCTGTCGTTCTCAGCCGACTTCACCTTTTCCCTGTCTCGAATCAAGGGGTGAATCAAGGTGCTAGAACAGAGCTGGCGGCGGGAAGGAAAGGGGGCGTGTTTCATCCTTCAACCCATTTCAAATTTCCGGCGATTTTGATGATGAAAGTTCACTGTCTCTCCGCCATCTCGTGGAGTTTCGCTTTTAATGCGTTTGTGTTCAACAATTTGATACCATACTCTGTAGTTAAAAGCGTATAATAGCTATTTAAAAATTGCGGAAAATTAATCACCTTGATATACGTTCTGATATGTTATACAGAAGAATCCTAACCTCCAAATTGTACGTCTTATTCCTATTTCGCTATTTGAAATTTCAATCTATTCATTGTAAGATACGATAAAATTCACCGAACATGTCCTTCGCATGTACTTGCTTTAATCTGAAACCACACCTGTACCGTGTTTCTGTCGTGGTCGTGTACGCTCTCGTACGTATGCACGCGGAACAGGAGCTCGCGTAACACACGTAAAGCACGTAGAAGCGGTGATTGGCGATCGACGTAGAACGAGAACGAAAACGACGCCGCGATTGCTCCTGATGCTCGCAAAATAAGGTCAGTTCACAGTTCACTGCAACTCAATTTCCAACGATAGTTACATAACGAGCAGCGTCGATCTCGCGGGGACGCTGCTTCTTTTCCAGTTATTTCGCAGGGCACGGTATCTGCAGGCTGCGTCAGTCGATTTCCGTGCGCGCGCACACGTACCACCGAGATAGAGGTCGCATGCGTGCTTTTCCATGCACGGATGGTAATTTATCTGTCACCGCTGACGCGTGGAATCAAAGTCGTAATTGGAGTTGTACGCTTGGTCCTTGGATTCCCTTTTTTTGGAGTTTTTTTTTTTTTTTTTTTTTTTGAAAAGGCTGCATTGATCGTTGGTTATACGATAAAGTCGATATAGAATTTTGATTGAGAATAATAGTTTCGTATTTCTGTTGTTAGAATATTATTTGTCAGCTGCGTGATTAATAACAGTAGGAATTGTTGAGTACAAGTTTGCAGTAATAAATAAATTACAGAGTATCCTGGATCCTCAAGATTTTATATCTTAAAAGAAAAAGAGAAGATAGAAGAAAATGAGGTTAGGAAATTATCTTTTATAGTTATTTAAATCGTAATTGTTACTTACAAATAATAATCGATTGGTGTATTATCCAATATCGGAAAATAAACTGACAACCAATTGTACTGTATCCAAGAAATGAACGTAAAGAAGAACTGGCATCAAATGATAACCTATAAAAACGAATAATTTTTAGTTCGATACAGACAGATTCGTTAGCAGATCGCAATCAAAGGACGATCCAACAAATATACATATCAATCGTCGACTCGCTAATGGAACACACTGCTGCAATGTCACGCATGTGGGAATTCTATTTGCCGGCCCATGAATCCAGGCGGATGACGCGGAAAAGAAAATATTACCCGACACACAAATTACCGTTTCCGTCGGTATGACAGCGACCTCGCTTACGATTGGATAGTTCTCGCCACTGCGAACCACGTGACCCTTGCACGCGAATATTATTGCGCATGCAATAAGGTATGCGCGATAAATCATAGGAGCGCATCGAAAAAGGGGGATCTAGAAAGAAAAGGAAGCGGATAGATGAATAGTAAAATATCGATCATCAGGACGCGGTTCTCTATTTGTAAGTTCGTTCGAAAGATGGTAATGCGTGAATTCAATTAACCGAGAGCTCGAAAGCAACGAGACGTATAGATAAGCCAAGAGGTCGTTAGACACGTTGTATTGCGAGTGGTGGGGAGAAGAAGAGAAGAAGGGTGGGGGTGTTCGCTTTTAAAAAGTCTCGTTAACCCGCGTAATTAATTCGCTGCGAGTGGACGCGACCACCGGGATAGAGAATTAATTCAGCCATGATAATTCTTGGCTGTGGATAAGGATTTTATTGTGAGATTCATTGTGCCGTTTTAAATTTAATCGATCTACGCTTTTATTGTCAGGAGGACATTAATATAAATGGAAGATAGGGCGTTAAAACTTGAGACAAGCACCTAGCGCTATCTGTGTTCATCACATGAAAATAGGTTTATCATAATTACATTTGTTGCTTACCTTATGCGGTATTTTTATGTAAATACAGAAATCTATACTTAATTATTTAGCAGTGGATTAGAATCCGATTAATCGAGTAACCATCATATGATTTCACTGAGGAAAGTAGAGCACAGCGAAAGAAATCCTTTGTGTGATATTAATTTAAAATCTAAAATCCAATATTTTTAATTCATTGTGTTACAGTATATCTAACATTACGTACAATTACCGTATTTAGAATGCGGAAGATTAATTTGTGAAAATCCTTTGAAGAAATATCACTTTGACAAATTAGAGAGATTCCCCTGGAATTAGGTTTATGATACTATAGTACGTACTAGGGTATCTACGAGAGAATACCTGAAATTCGGGTCACCAATTTGGCTCAAATTTTGTGTAGAATTATACGTGTGTGATAATATCCCAAAAGTGTAGTTTTCATATATAGTGTTAGTATTAAATTAATAAAATCTCGACGAGTTCTTTTCTATGAAGAAATACTGATAAAAAATGCATTTTCCTCTTCGTAATTCATTTCACATTCTTTTACAGGTACATCTGTAATAAAAAAGAAAAGTAAAAAAATATAATAAAAGAGATCGCTAAACTTTTGTCACATTTTCTACATCTAATTAAATTTTTTAACATTTCCACTAGTGAACATTTTAATTGGAGGAGTTATAATGCAATTATCCCAGTAGTTTCAACTTTTTCCGCAAAAATTTACGTTCTCTATTCAATCTCAAGCTAATGTTTCGTTCATAAATAAGTTGTGTACATATATAGACCTCCATGAAAGAGTATCGAGTGGCCTACTTCTTTTACAACCCCATTAATGTCGAGTTGCACATAAACAATATCGGTTTCTGAAACTGTATTTGTAGAATGTTGCCACAAACACGTTGGCGGTGTTGTAATGAAGATCGTGCGTTGTCAACCTAAACGACAGTCGTTTGTAACTAAAATTATCGCTATTTAAAGTGAGAAATAGTACTTAAGGATAATTTATGTTTACTTCACCGTCAAATTGTATGATATATATATACATATTTCCATAATTTCCAGTTAAAACTTTTAACACGTTGTATATACCTGTGTGTTGTCTTAGTTTTATAACAAAAATTCAGGTGATTACAACAATGATTAAACTTTAGTCGATGCATTTTGTACATAAAATCGCGCACAATAATTATGAAATTAACATTAATGAATACTTTAATTGATTTTTGTGCAAAGAATTGTTTGCCCATTCCACAATTTTAACCTCAGCATTTCATAACCTATATAACAATACATAATAATATTAGTGATCCAGCATTTAAGAATTAAAATCTGTATTTTCACATACCTACTGTCAAGCATAGGAAAGGAAATTCGGGAAATATCGTACGTTGAAACTTCGTAATATGTTTATATCCGCACGATAAAACACACACGTTCCATTCGCAAACAGCCGGTTCCGCCATGTTTAGCGACCAATTACCGGCGCGCGCATTAAACGCTGAAACAGAGGCGCGGTCTTTGTCATTCGAATCGCTGTCTTGAAAAGTTACCGCTAGATGCCGTGACGGGAAAATCTAGTGTCCCATCGTAATTCGAAAGCGATTGTTCGAATTTATGAAGCCATTAGGGCACCGCGGGACGTTCGACCAAAGCCCTGTTCCTGATTCCTAGCGCAATAAAAGAGTCGCGTTACGGTGGTATTTTGTCCGAAGTGGCGGCTACCTACATTAAGACTATAACAAGCTGATTGCGTGGGCCTTTGTTGCACGGACGAAGCGTACCGTGTATATGTGTGGAGCGTATATATGTTTTATAAAGAAAACTGGCCGGCAGGTAGCGCCCTAAACTCCCTTACGATGTAATATCGCGGTAAGCGAGCAATTCAGAGATTCTCGTAAGTGTGCCATTCTTTGCAATATCGAGTGTTCTCAAAGGAACGACGAATGTGTATCTAAAGTCTAAAAATTGGCAAGAAAATAAATTTTGTTTAAATAGATAAATATAAAATATGACATAATTCGTTGCTTTTTATTTTAGTTGCATAAATTGACGAAAATATAAGGTCCCTTATATTGTATTTGGACGCTGATCATTTATGAACGACTGTATATCACAAAATTACTGCAGAAGTAATTTAAATGTGATGCGAGCACGATCGAGTAGGAAAAAATCTACGCCAAAACAGAAATGACGTGCACATTATTAACATATCGCTGTGAGGCATAGACTGTTTAATGGCTAAAGGGGAAACTCTGTTTTCTTTTCAGCAGTGAGCTCCATGCGGCCGATAGACAGCACGAAATGCGTGGTGGTCCAAGACGTGAAGGCTGTCACTCATGAGAACGCGCACGTTCACGACCCGATATCAACGCAAATACCCACCGAAGGTAAATATCGAGCGGTATCAATTTGCATCCACTATGCATGATGTAAATACTCCGGCGTACGACGTCTCACGGTAATTGCTTTTGGGAGGCGTCTGCTACGTTCGAATGGCTTCCCCTGGCCTGATATCGGCCGTCTCGTATATAACTATACAATGGCCACAGCGAGAATAATATCGGTTCTGATATGTAGCTATATTCGTCGAGTTACGCCATTGGAATATTTGTCGCAAGTCTGTGAGATTAAATACCGTAGCAAACATTTTTTACAAAAATTGGCGGGAAATATGAAATTTGATATGAAATTAAGTATTTTCACTCAGCTCAACATGCTTTTGTGCATGTGATACAAGTTTGTAGACACTAGTTCCTTAAAAGTGTGCGTGTATGCATATTTTTGAGGTTATTGGAGAAATTTCCATGATTTTCTGTGATATTTAACTTCGATATCTAACTTCACCCATGAATAACGTTACATGTGCAAATTTGGTTAAAAATGTGTAGGTATTAGATTATATACTTAAGAATGTAAATGTAACATCATTTTTTAACATACTGCGCAATTGCGAGATCTCAATTGCCATTAAAAGAGTGATATTGAAACACGAGTTACGAGAGCTTTAAAAGCATTTGCACGTGTTAATAAAATTTGGGTTTCTAGATAAATTTGAAGCACCTGATGAATTCATAGGAAGTTTGCAATCGTATTAGTATTATAGAACAGCTAATTTACTCGTGAAAATATATAAACTCATCGAAAATTTGATTACCTTTTATCATAAAAATATCACGTTCATTTGTCATAAACTATAGATAGATGTAGTAATTATTTTCACCGATTAGGATAATGATTTTCAAATTTTTAAAGATAATTTAAAACTTCGGAATCTAAAGATATAAATTATTAGTTATATCGAACGTACTATAGTCCTGCTTTATTCGTAGATTCATTTCAATATTAATATCTGCAAATAGGCCTACATAACCTATAAGAAAACAAAATTTTTCTGTAAAATATAATTACGAAGGACGAAAAATAAGCACAATAGATAAACAAGTTCTTTTTACTACACAGAGTCGCTGCCGACGAGTACAGCAGAGCACTCGAGTGCGTCGGATAGCGCCGGCGACCAACAGAGCGATCCTCAGATTCAGCAATCCGCACAGCAATGGCCGGCAGTGCTCGAGTTGCAGGCGTACAACGTGGCCCACTCGGCCGTGATCCTGCCATACCATTTCTGGAACACCGAGTTCCGAAACAAGCAACCCGCCTTTATCCGATTGAACCTTACTCTACCCTGGGGTGCGAACTTCGCTGTCTACGGAAGACGAAATGTCGCTCCAAGTGTCACACAATACGATTTTGTGGAGTTCGTGAAAGGTGGTAGAGTAGATCATAGGCTGAAAAGAGATACAAGTTCGGAGGCGGTCAGTTTCATGAAAACAGCTGCAACAGAGGCTCGATCTAGTGACAATCGCTCATACCAACACGTGCTGATCAAGAGAACGATTGTAGAACCGATGATGGTGAACGTTAGCTTACTTCAGTATCTGGATACTGGACGTTGGTTTTTGTCGGTGTATAACGATGAGTTGCAGTCATACAAGGTTACTCTGGTTGTGACCGAAGCCGAAGGTGTATCGACTACTTGCCCTAACGACTGCTCTGGAAGAGGATCATGTTATCTTGGAAAGTGCGACTGCATAGATGGGTATCAGGTGCGTATCCTCGGGTTTCTTGAGAGGTTAAGTTGATACGAGGAGCAAGAAATGGTTGGGCGATGGACTTACTGGAATTACACAAAATTTGGCAACAAATTGAATGCTACTGAAGATGTGGGATAAAAGAGATGAGCGATTTTATAGATGCACCTACCATATAATTGGAGAAGTATTCATTTTATTTGTTGCCATACCAACATCGTTTGTATCAAATTTTGTTTTTGGTGCACTCAAAACAAATTGATGGGTTTTCTTTCTTCATTCATAAATTGTATTATCAAATATATTTGGGTTGCTTTGACATCAAATATTGCTTTTATGAAATTTCAAATTGTGTACTTTGTACGTTCGATATAGTCTCTTATAATATATGATGTGTACTATGTACTAAATTTGAGTCAAATCGTTGACCTGTACATTATTTCGCTCCCCTTGTTAGTCCTCGACTGATGAGGTGAAATACCTGTGATATAACAGGCAAGGTGGGGTCACTTTAATCGGGATCAAGTGGACACGTAGAATATACGCTTCAGCTAGATAAATATATGACGATACTTACGTTAATGTTGCATTAATTGATTACAAACTACAAACTGTAAAATTAATATAATAAATTGCTCTTGCAACGGCGTATGGCATTTCAAAGGAACATGTGGCTCCATCTACAGTACTAAGAATTCATAATATAAATGAATAGCAGGATATCTTCGCTTCCTGTAGTACTGAATGTTTATAATGATGCATACAAACAAAAATTACAATAAATAACTGCAATAAAATGTTTGGGATACCATTAATAGAACTAAAAAGAGGAAAACCTTACTTTATATACTATGAATATAAGTTCGCAAACTTTAACCTGAAAATTACAGAAAGGAAAAAATTTATACACGTTGATTTGGAACTCATAAGAATGAGAATCCTCGGTCATACATAACCTCAATAAATAATTCCAGAAAGCCATACTGCAATTCCAACCGACAATAATTCTAAAGAATAACACTCTTTAAATCGCCGAAACCACGATTCTCAAGATCTGCTACCACAAATCTTGCACACAATCGTATCAAATCACTGTAACGATTCAATTTATCCATCAACCTCGTTCATGTAGCGATTTGGGAAGAATTACGTAGCGATCGAAGCGATTAGATCGCGAAATGGTGCTGCTAACGGCACTCGTCGATCATATTTATGATAGGGAGAAGAGAAATAGAAGATAATAGAATCGATGAAAATTTTAGGGTGCAGATTGCAGCAAGAGCGTGTGCCCCGTACTGTGCTCATCTCATGGACAATATGGTGGAGGTATGTGTCACTGCGAAGATGGCTGGAAAGGTGCCGAATGTGATATACCGTTAGGAGACTGCCAAGTTCCTGATTGCAATCAACATGGACAGTGCGTTAGAGGATCGTGTGTTTGTAATCCTGGTTGGAAAGGCGCCTTCTGTGATGAACGTAAGTCAAAAGCATGTTTAGATAAACATCTAATTGTCACTTAATATGTTCTAGATATTTCAACCAGATATATTGGAAAACAAAAATTTAAACATAATTTTAACTACAACACAAAATACTTACTCTGATTTCATAATGAAATGATTACACTTCCCTTGGTTGAGGTAATTAGTGAATGAGAAGTTCTAGATGAAGACATGACGGCACGTTTCCTAGTGATAATAGACCTTTAGAGGTGGAAGTGAAATCTGGATCCGGAATTGAATCTTGTTTTTTGAAAGGAATCTGTAACGGAAAAGAATTTTAGAAAAGATTCATACTCATTTGCAGATTTTTAACATCGATGCTCAAAAATCCCCTAATGCACGTCTATAAATAATAAAAGAAGGACGAGTCAAGCAGCAAACGAAGGAAAAAGAAACATGATGGAACACGGAATTTAAATGTACCCTTAAAACGCGACAGATGATCCAACTTTTGAGTTCATTAACGGCGACATTGTACTCAAAGCGTGTGCACGCATGCGCGCCACGTCCCGTCATATTTTAGCGTTAAAAACGAGCAGCGGAAACGCGAGCTGCTCGCAGGAAAACGTTTACCTCTCGACTTCTATTTCTGCGTCGGATGTTGTTTCTTCATATTTGTCACGCCGCCATTAATTTCCCCATAATTCAACCGTACGTCCTGCCCTCTACCGTACCTCTATCCAGGCAGATTCAAGGTATTAGTAATGCACGTTCCCTCGTCCGCCAGGCGCGTATATACCGTATGTCTCTGAGTATAACCTATAATTAATGCACGTTCTCCGGTTGAATTTATATATGGGTCAACCATCGCGACAATTCAACCAGACAATTAGTTTCATGCTATTTCATGGTCGTTTTAATTCTCCTTGAAATGTGTGAACTCATTAAGTGGGGAGAGTAGTCTATCCTATAGATTGTGTATGGTAGGTCGAGAAAATCTATCTCCTGTCACACCGAATTAAACGTATTGCGTTTACCGACTCAGTATTTGCATTCGTGTTTACATTATACATCTTTCCTCAACGAGTTCCTTGGAATAGATTACAAACTTGCAAACGAGCGGTTTTATCGGTTAACCTAAAATCGATATCTCTCTACATTCGTTTTAAACGTTGTTAACTAAAATAAAAATAAAAATTAGTATAATTCCTTCGTAATTGTTAGAAAAAGTAACTGATCTTGAAAGCTGTGGCGAGCATCAACTGCTTGGTATATTATCACGACTCAGTAGGATAGCAATCGTTCATTCTAAATTTTCAGAGTTCGAGAAAGCTTTTAAAGGAGTGAAGCGAATGGGTTTTTGTTTTATCTTACACATCTTTTGTTATATTTTCGTTGTATTTGTTATATCACGTACGTACCTTTTAAATTTGTGCGCTTATATTTCAGGAAGGAATAAAATTTGAGTTAAACGCCTGGAATGTGTTCTTTGTTAGAGCCATTTCGCGGAAGCCGGTTCGGAAAAATGACGTTGTTGGAACGAATGGGGAAATTATTCGCGGGAAGAGGAACGCTTTGTCTCTGACACTCCCACAGTTTCGTCGTAACGCCTCTTTCCCAATCATTCTTCAACGAACGATGGGGTATTCCTTTCGCATTAAAGTCTACTGGAATTGAGGATACATTTGTTTGATCATTAGCTAGCTAAAACTCGAAGTAAGTTTGTAATACGAAAATACGATTTTGAATTTTTTAGAACTTCATACAGACAGAACGATTTTTACCGAAACCGTGGTTACCTGGCTGTAAATATTTTATTTCTGAATCATCTGTGGCTTTTTCTGCGATTTTTCAGTATTTTTGTTCTTACTCCATTTTATGGTATCCATGTCTAGTTAGTTCCACAACTTTCTACAACCTCGGTATAACCTATAATGTAGTAATTGTTCAATGATTTCGCTTTTACGAATTAAATTTCGAATAATTTGATGATTAATCGCTAATAACTTTTGATGATGTTGTTAATAGGATCTGAAGAACACTTGCAGCCTTTTCTGGTATATTTCATTAGCAAAGTGTGAATATTTTAAGCGTTCATATTAATATCAGTTTCGAAAACAGTTGGAGGGCGAAAGTTTCTAGAGTAGTTTTACCCTTCAAACTGGAGGTTCTATGGGTAAAAAAGGTACGTGTCGTATAATTTCAACATAGGCCTTTTTACACGATTGCATAATTCTATGGGTCCTTGATAATAATGTCGATTGTCACTTCATACAAAAGTCATTTATACTGCGTGTTCCAATTTCCTGTAATACGACGTAATGTTATACCTGCAGAGGAGGATATACAATTATTACCTAAAGAAGGAAACCTAAACTTTCTTTATCTAAGCAGGAAAGTTTTTATTTGCAATATTTTCCTAATAAATTATAATGTAGAGTGATTTATTATAAAATGAATAAGTTTGTATCATATTCGTAATTAATATAATTCTCTTAAAAATATTTTAGTGCTTTCTGATGTAAATTTCATCGACTCGTTCGGTATAAGAATACCGGCGTATAACGGTAAACATTACTCCTATATTGGTTAGCAAATACTGCCGAGAGATGGCGCACAAGCAGTCCCGTAGCACATGAAGCGAATGGTGGCGTACAACGCATCGCCGGGACGCTTTGGAATTAAGTTTCATAATTTCCCCGGGGCAGCTGGGATCCGCAGGAATAATGCAATTGTTCCGATGCTATAATTTAAAAAGTTGGCCCATTCGTTGGTGCCTAGGGCGCAATCACCGACGACTACCTCCTCCGCGACCTTCTTCCGAAAGACTCCTTGTGTTCTTAAAAATAATGTTAAGTGTATTCATACCAGCAAGAGCTCGTTGGTAAAAATTGGAGATAGTTGTTATGTACGATAGTTTGGTTAAGTTTGTCAATAATACTGACGATTTGCTATGATATTATCTGTCGTTAGGTTTAGTTAGGTTAAGTTCAAGAATTTAAGACTTTTACACCCTGAATATATAGAATTGTCTCGCAACTCTCAGAATTGGATGAATTTCACCAATTTTACCCTTACATCTAACATAAAATAGTAAACTAATTGACAACATTTAAAACTGGAAGAAGTGGGAATTTTTTAATTATTTTTATAAATTCCACCAAATTTCATGTGTCTTTCTTTCTCTCTACATATTACCAAATATTTTCCTTTGAAAAAGTAGAATTCAATTTTATTAATTAATATACATATTCTACTAAATTTTGCAGATTTCTTCCTGTATATACAAATATTTGTCCCCTTTACATAATTTGATAAGCATAAATTATTGTAATTGTTACAGATATAATATATAACCTAAAATAAGGAATGTATTAATATTAAATTTCAGCTGATTGTCCCGATCCCAACTGCAGTGGCCATGGGGCCTGCGTTGCTGGCAAATGCTACTGCAAAGCAGGCTGGCAAGGTGAAAGGTGCAACCAGGTCGACCAGCAGGTATACCAATGTCTGCCTCGTTGCTCAGACCACGGCACGTACGACCTCGAATCCGGAAGCTGCATCTGCGAGGGACACTGGACCGGTGTGGACTGTTCACAACCAAGCTGTGGCCTCGATTGTGGACCACACGGAACCTGCGAACAAGGTTTTTGCAAGTCAGTACACGTTGTGCATCGCTACACTACCACATTTCCTGTTGTCGTCCTTTATTGGTCCTACGCGAATTTGAATTGGGTTACCTGGACGCGTCCTCGCATCCGGTGAGAAAAGCGATGCGTGTCCCCCTGACCCTTGCTCTTCAAACCCGTTTCTCGCTCTGGGTTAGGTTAGGAAGATTTATCCTGTCGTGGTTCGGATTACTTACTGTGCAGTTTTTCGGGTATTTCGTGGGTGAGGAAAAGTTGAAGGGGATTTTGCGGGTGGGTGACATTGGATATATACAGGGTGTCCTAGCAACGGTAGTACTTACTTGCTATGGCTTAGATGTATGTACCGATACATCAGCATCGGTGGTACGACCGATGAGGGGGTGATTCTACGCTGAAGAACAAATCGGGAATAAAGAATAAAATTTTTTCATTCGCAGCTTCGTTGTCGAGAAAATCGATTTTGAATATGCACCGAGTGCGCGTGCACTTAACTTTGGCTAAGAAGGATCGACCATGAGTATATCAAAGTCGATTTTCTCCATAGCGAAGCTTCCAATGAAAAAATTTTATTCTTTATTTTCGATTTGCTTTTTCACGTGGAATCACCCCCTTCCCGGTTATACTACCGTTACTGAGACACCCTGTATATCAAGATAAATTTAGGTTGCTTCGAAATAATTTGGAGGTTAGGTAAAAGTTTCTGCAGTGGATCTAATAGCAGGCTATGCAAATTAATGTCACGCAAAATGGTAAATTATCATCGATACAAAGTACAAACTCAATTTCAATAATTCAGAAATTCGGTTATCTTTCTTTTTTTCCAGCACTTTCACCCTAGGAATCTGCTTTGAAGGGATGCTAACTTTCACAACTGTGACTTTGATTAATTCAAATCCATTCACCCTTCGCTCGAAATACACCTCGGAGGCATCCAAAGCCTCTTCGGCCAAGTTTATCGTGACAAGTTAGCGACGATTTTCGAAAAAAAGAAAGAAGAAAAATATAAAAGTACCGGAATCCTAAGCAGCGGGGCAAGGGTAGGTGGCGTTAGAGTGCGGGGGCTAAAAATGAGTAAATTGTCGGCGGGATCGGAGGTACGAAAGTTGAGGCTAAGGAGGTGAAAAATTGCGAGAAAAAGGCTCTGTCTTAGGGTGGCTGCCAACTTATCACGACTCGAAGGACCGACCTCCCTTCCCGGCGTCCCTTTGTCAGAATCAAGGACGCGAAAGAGGATCTCCTTTCTCATATTCTAAAGCTGACGCCTCTCTCGTTCCTCCCTCTCTTGTTCCTTGAAAGAGCGTCTGTAAGCGCAAAAACTTTTCACTGCGGGAGGACTAGTTCGGAACTTAGCGGAACCCGTGTCCTTTTTCCGCTTTTCTGAAGGGTTCTGCGCGGAGGGAATCAATTTTGCATCGGGCGATAAACTTGAGCGCATCCTCCACCGGGAATTGTGCAGATCCCCTTGGGAACATGGTCCTGAATTATATCTTAATCCTTTGAGACTGGATTTTGATTTGCTTGTGAAGACGAAAGTTGAAAATTCGATATTTAACATAATAAGTAACGTAAATATTACATTATTCTATAATTTAAATATTACTTTGGTAAATTTTAAATTCACGTCTGATAGCAGAACAGTGATACGTAATAAGTAAGTCCAGTCCTTTGCACTGGACGATTTTTGGCTAGAAAAGAGTAGAAAGTCAAAGATTCTCTATTAAAAAACTAACAATACTTTTCTGAGTAGTAAATAAAGAATTTTATAATAATAGAATTGTAGAATTATTTAATTTCGATATTTTGCACACTGTTACATTGCATTAAATTTGATATATTAATTAATAACGATCTTCCAAATTTTATGAAATAGTGACTGAGGGTCACCTCTCGAGTGCAAAGGGATAATATGTACATACTAACAGGATGTGTATAGTTTCTTGTAAGTGATATACCTGAACAGTCGTTCATCGTGTAATTCTCAAATTTTTAATTGTCACAATTCTTCGATAAAAATTGTTCTACGCGATAGTGTACTAAAAGTTATTAAATTGTTTAACTACTTTTATCAGATGCAACGATGATTGGACTGGAACCAAATGTGACCAGAAACCGTGCGATCCACGTTGCGCGGAGCATGGTCAATGCAAGAATGGAACTTGCGTTTGCAGTCAAGGATGGAATGGTCGACATTGCACGCTGCGTAAGTAAAATGTCAATATCATTAATGATAATTAAACTCATAATCGTGATCGTTTATTCTCACGAAGTGGTAAATGTGGAACACTGGGTAATTATGGATTTCGGAGTTTGGCTGTTCGAAATTATCATTTTATTATTAATTATTGTTATATAATTTTATTTACTTAATCCTCGAAGTTATTATTCAAAACTTTCCGGGAACAAGTATTTTTGTGCTGTAATTATTTTTCATTTACATTATTTATTATTTCCTTATTATTGGTATGATATGTGGATCAACATTGCCTATCTAAAATGCAAAATTATATAAAAATACAAGTTGTAAAAAAGCTTATTTACAATGTTATACACAATTAGGGTGGTTAATTCGAAAATTAAGTCACGTTGAATATAGATTTTACGGGATTAAGTAGTAGAAACACGAATCGTACAAGTGGTAAGTAGTAGAAGTCAATGTTTCATCCGGCAAAAGAGTACGAGATTACTTTCAGTTGAATACTGAAGGTATTAAATAGCACTGTTACTTAACTATACTGTCATTTTGTTGTTTGCTTTTCTCCTACATGTTTTCTTTGTTTAGTTATGTAAAAAGAAAAAGAAACAGTTGTTTTAAGATATACAAAAATTAAATTGTTACGAATTTAAGATTCTAATTTGAATATCGGGAAAAGAATATTAATTTTTATTTGTCATGGATAATTACTTGATATCTTCTTCTAAACAATCACCGCCATTCCTTTAACAGCCGGATGCGAGAACGGATGTAGTCGCCATGGACTATGCACCCTGCAAGATGGCGAATACAGTTGCGAATGTTCAACAGACTGGGCGGGCAGGGATTGCAGTATACGATTGGAAATGAAATGTAATGATCTTACTGATAACGATCAGGGTAAGTGTAGAAGTATCGAAATCTTAATATGATAAAGTGTGTTTAATGAACCAATATTTTCTCTTATAGTAATATCTAACTTTCTTTTATTTTTCAAACAATTGGCAAGTCTTTGTAAGAAATCAGTTTTGTGCATAGAAATTGTAAGGACCGTAGTAGAATTTTAATATCCTTTGATATGAATTTCCATTATATGAAATTTCTCAAAGAATTCCCAAAACACTGAACGTTCTAAAATTCCAAAAATATCCTCCATTTAACAAATTTCCCTGGAATTTCAACGGAATTAACCAATTCCACCAAAGTTTCAAAATTCCAAATAGTTTCATCATGGTTGCAAAATTCCAGAGGAATTTCAAGGAATTCCAAGAAAATTTCAATTTTATCCATAAAGAAATTTTGCATAACATCTAATCCTGTTCTATTTAAGGAACGTTTAATCTAAGAAGTAATGTTTCTCAGATGGCATGATGGACTGTTCTGACAGCGAGTGCTGCTCGCACGTAGTTTGCGCAGATCATATCATGTGCCTTACTAGTAATAATCCCGTGGACGTCCTTCTCCGCAAACAACCGCCCAGCGTGACCGCGTCCTTTTACCAGCGCGTGAAATTCCTCATTGAGGAGAACAGCGTACAAAGCTACGCTCGTATGAACGATTACACCGAAAGGTAAGATCACTTCCTCTTACACGGTTTTACATTCAGTCAATCATTCTAATATTATAGAGGAACGCTTAGTTCTATATACTTTATTTTTACTACGTCTAACAGGATAATTGCGTTTAGGCAAGCGAGTGAGTCGTTGTCACGAGCTAATTGGAATTGAGCTAATTGGAAGTTTCAAAGAGAACGTTCTTCCTTCGCTGATCGAACAGCAAGATTATTGATCATATTGATTGTAAGAATTAAGGAGCTTGAAGGGGAAGACTCGACTGTGTCTCAGACTCTTGAAGTAAGAGATTTTGTTGGAAAGGAAGTTTTTAAGGTTTCGTTTTGGTAATTGAGAATTAAAATTAATCGTAAGTAATTGGTGGAAAGACTCGAAGGTTCTTTTAGAGAAATATTTTGTTCTTATCGTTACGTTTTATGCGTAAAATAGAAGTTTCAATCTAATTATCTCTGAATCGTTAATTAAAAGTTCTAAAAATATCAGGATTTGTACTAACATATTTGTTAGTATTTTAAAAATTCGAGAAGATTTTTACAACGATTTTATGTATTAAAGAAAGACGTGTATTTTGAATTACCATAGCGGAAATAACAAAATTCTCTAATCTCCAAAAGTCCCGAAGGTAGCATTCAGTCTCCCTATATGTATTTAATGCCATAGAATCTGAGAGTCCAAGAAACGTTAATTTTCAATGACAACGACTTACTCGTTTAATAATCGTCGATACACGTACCGTTTAACTAACAAAAAGAAACGAATTGAACAAGTATAGCTGCGTGTCATAGTTTCTGGCCTTTTACAATTCTCGAATGCGTTGACATATTACGCGGCTGTTACTTTCCTCGTTTTTATCATCCACGAGAACTGCGTAGATCATTGATTTAATTCAGAAGAGACGGTTTTTCGTTCGCCCATACGGTACGTTCGTGATGTGTTTCACATGAAATAGGTCGGGAATATATGTATATACATATGTGCAGTGTATGTTATATACATGGAAAAATAAGAGAGAAGCATCGTATCATTCGAGAAGCGCAACGTGTTTGAACACACACGGACGATGGTTCTGCCGAAGAGTTTTGTTTACGTGGTTCATTTTTTGTTTTTTCCCACGAAGCTTCACGATGGGGCAAAATATCGCAGGAGAGAATCCTTCTGCTTGCACAGTTTTCGCAAATCTTGTTTTGCTGCATCTATCTGTTCTGAAAGAAAATGATTGAATTATTCAAAAAGCAGTGATATTTTTTTTATCAACGTAGACACGAATAAAATCAAAATTTCTTAAAAAATAATACGCATAGTAAGTACCAAATACCATTAGATTTCGAGTTTCAAATATTTGTCCTTAGTTCTCCATTTTTCTTTTTTTTTTCTTTTTTTGAATACGTCACAATTAAGATGTAAAAGAGTAAAATGGGAAGGTTGTAATTTAAAGATATTCTTTCGTTAAAATCTATTCTTTTACTCGAGTGTCGTTTTCCCCATCGTGAGCGACTTTTTAATGACAAAAAAAAAACGAGTAAGGAAGAAAAAAGAGATTCAATTAGATTTACTTGTACCGCCATGCCAAACAATCCGGTATATCCATGACAGCTGAATTATCAAGAGAGCCCCCGGTGGGTGACAACCCCGCCAACCCTCTAACCATCCTATTCCTCGTGTTTCACCCCCTCCCTCCCCCGAATGCCGAACGCGTCACTGATCATCTCGGTAGCATTGTCGATCAAAGGAGCTTCCTCGCGTGCAGCGTCTGATATTAATTACTTGCAATTTAGTCCTGTCTCATGCCACACAATGAATCTTGTCTTGCGAAGGATCTCCCGACTAATCACGTTTTGGAAATACCCCTTTCGAGAAACTAGACAGATCAAATTCTTTTTAATGATCCATCATTTGGTATAGCATTAAAGTGGAAGTACAGATAGTCATGAATGAAACAGTCTTGTTAAATGGAGTTCTAAAGTTGTTCGTTAATCTGCAATATAGTTATATAATGTTATAGTTGATATGCAATATGATTCTTTCTTTACTTACATTACTTTTGGACATTCTTTTTAGTTATATTTATTATATCACTAATAGTAATAACGTTATTCCATGGTAAAGGATTAAATTAAAATCAAATCGGTGTCAAAAGATATTAAGTTCAGTTGAGTAAATAGCAATGAGAAAATGAATTGCTATTTTGAATATCCAGCCATATATAAAGTAATTTTAGAACTCCTTTTATTAAAACTCTTCAGTCACTTGCAAAATGCAAATTACACTTTGCACCTAGTGGGTTTAGTTGGATAAACCAGTGCTTTATTTTCCATACGTTAACAAAGTCATCCAATAGGATATTATCCTTCGTGTCACATAACCTACAAAGTAAATAAACCGTTCTGGTTATGAGCATATTACTCGCGCACCTGTTCCTTGCAATGCATAAAGAAGTAGTAGCAGTTTCATCAGAGTATCTCACAACTATCATATGTTCCGTCGGTAACTAGGTGAGCAAATAAAAGCGAGAAATAAACTTACACGCGTGACGGTCAGTGTCCTTTGTTCGACATTGATGAAGATTTGCTCGGGATGCGTGCTGACCGACGCATCGGAGCAACAGCGAGCGCATTTCGGGGGATTCGTGTATTTTGTCTAGTGTTTATCCTCTGTGTGTACCCTGCCACCACCAGATCACCATTCACCCTACAGCCGAAGACCGAAAGAGGCTCCGTTCTACGTACAGACTCTGAAATACAAACAAAAAAGATACGTCAAAGAGAAAAAAGGACAAAGAGATATTCAAGAAGTCTGTACGCGGAGAAAATGTTCGAGAGACTCGATTTTCGGTATTCTCGATCGGTAACAACGGATGTTAAGTTATCCGCGTGAAGTTTTTTTTAACGTACAGTTTCCAGGCACCGCGTTGTTTCGTAAACAAGCGCGCATTACGAACAGAGTATACTAACTTACCTTCGAACGGTAACGCGATAAGCAGACCGTGTCGTTTTCCAAATTTCTCTTGTGACTTACCAGCTATTTCGGCCATTTGTTTAAGCAGTTCACCGACAATGGAAGATTCATAGATAAAGCGCACGGGGGCGGTCGAGTTTCGGTATTCATCTAACCTCACTTTCTCGCAAACGTGAAATCAGCATATTGCTCTTTCGAATCGTGCTAACGCGAAAGATACTTGAAAGAAAAACAATGAATCCCGGGAGTCGATCATCCCCGAGTAAAATTATTTCTAGAAATGGTAGACACAAGTTTGAAATCTGTCGCGGTTCGGTCGCTTTTCTCGCGCGTCCACTCGCAGTCCTTCGCCTCGAATGGAACATTCTGCATATGATACACGACAGTTCCGTGTGTGTCCGAGAAAGAGACGTCCGGAGAGCGGAACGGAAGTTTGTTTTGGATCTGTAGTAGTGTCCATTGTTTCGTTGCGGTATTGATCAGCGACTTTCTCCGAGCACCCTTGCTGCCGCCTTGAAACGCTTCTTCCATTTCGATCCAAACGGATAACATGCTTTTTTGTGTGCTTGACGTACGCAGCAATTTTGCTTGAAAGGCTGCGTGTCCATCGTTTTTGGGTTAGAAAAATACCATAAACTTTTATAGTTTGTTTTATCGCATAATAAAATTGGGATTTCTCTTTTTAAGTACAAGGAATCATAGGATATCGTTTGAATTATGGTTGGAAATGAAATGGTTCTTTGTAAACGAAGTAAGCGAAAGTTACATATCGAATTTTTCAAACATCTTAGAGGAAAAAAGAGTATTATTGTCAGACTATTACTGTGTTTGATTAAAACCTGACATTTTTAATAATTTTTATTTTTTATTTGACCAAATTTCAGGTATTTTGGAATGGATAACTTAATTTCAATGGAATGTCACAATGGAGATAATAGCTAACTAAAAGAATATTTTATGAGACAAAGTAGTAATGATATGTGAGGCAATTATGGACATTGAGACGGATTTCAGTTTTTCATTTCAGTTGAGAACTTCTAATTTTTACAACTTCAAATTGGTTTAAGGAAAATTAATTCCTGTCTGCATTTTAAATGCAAAGTTGTTACAAGATAACAGTGAATTCACATAAAAAACAAATATGAAGCTTATTGGACCAAATTCAATTGTCTCCTATCGCTTTCTCAATTTTTAAAATTTTTTAATTTTTTAATTTGTAGAGACACCATGTACATGAATATTAGAACACATGCTAGTAAGATGAGCCAAAGACGTTCCTGAAGATTGACGCATGCCTACAAAGAATCATCATTTTCCAACCATTACAGTAGTAAATATCTTAAAATCAGTTGAAAGCAAAACAACGTAGCCAAAGATCAAAGAGTAGGTTACAATTAGTAGCAGTGAAATAAGTCGGTCACTGGGTAGGCAAATTTTTCGCTAGAAGGAAAATAGGGTGCATTCTCTGGAACAAGCAAGAGAGTCCTATTTCTCACTTTTTCTTCGAATGGAATCTTGGGTGGACAGACAGCATACAAGTATCCCGGTGAATCAGAAATTCAGGCTGGCATCGGGATTGCTCGGACAGCGTAATCAATATTCGAAGATCGTCTGCCGACATGGCAGTCCAGCTCCGATGGAATCTCTCCTCATTGTCAGTTCGAGGCTCAGCTTCGACGAGCGACGCGATAAGAGGATCCTTCGAGCGACGCCGTTACTCTCGACTCCTCGATACGGGGCGAATGTCGAATCGACGTTGAGTCGAGAATGTTGAATTCCGAACGAAACGACGGCTATGTCTCGTTAACGCGTGTGTATTACCCGTTCCGAATACATCGATCACGCCAAGACGCTGGTGCTCTCCATCTCTTTCTCTCTTTACTCTGTCTCTATATTTACATATACATATATATATATCTACTTATATAATGTATATATATACATGCATACATATATACGCGTATGTATATATATACACGTGTATAATCGTATATATACAGATATGTGTGCGTAGTTTCCAACTTGTGTCTGTCACGTGTATTACCACTCTATGTTGAATGAGTCTGCGAGTGACTGCGTTCATGTTGCGTGGCTGACGAAGACCGCGTGTGTGATGGGTACGCTTGATTAGTGTGTGTCTACGTCTATTGTTTCTGTAACGGCGTGCGGAACATTGCAATGGAGCATTCGATTTTCACCGCGAAACTGGCGCGTACGCGCTGAAATTTGGCGCGAAGGGTGAAAGGTGGGGATATCGATCGGGAAATGGACACAGATCCACGGAATTTCATCTCTGTCGAGACGTTTGAAAAGAAAAATTCGGAATAACGATTATGAATTATCGGTGGCGTGAAAATTTGCGACGCGGGAAAGAGCGAAAATCGCGCGAGAGAAATGATTATGCGTAAAGGTGATTGCTCACGCAATGCTGCGTACGCACGTCCGTTTTTTTGCCCGCAAACGTGGGTTCTGTGACCGTGGTAACGCCCTTTCTTCTCGTTGGTTTTTTCCCACACGTAGTACGTTCTGGAGTTCCTTTACACCGCGGTAAGTTGCAGCTCAAGCTCTCTCGCTAATCGTTCATTAATCCAAAAAAAAAAGAAACAAATATTTTTTTTTTTAATGAAAGAAAAAAGCAAGAAAAAAGTACCATCTATTTGCTCGTTTCGCTCGTAACATTCATCTTACATGTTTTTTCGTATGTCCCATTATATGTAATCTATCTATCTATATATGTATACGTATGTTCATACCCTTAGCCTGCGTATCACGTCTTTCTTTTTGTCTATCTCTGTTTCAGTTATTGTTTTTGTCTTTGTCTCTCTATACATCACTTTTTCTTGCTCTTTCCATATATCTTTTCTGTTCTATTGTCCCTGGTTCAGCCTGTTATCGACTCAGTTACATTACTAATTATGTTTGCCAGTGTTTGATCATACCTCGCTTGTTCGACTCGTCACTCTGTCCTCTGAAAACCCCCTGTATTCTTTTTTTTTTTAATCGCTGTCTATCGTCTCCCTTGTTTTGCCCTCTATTGCTCTGCCCCCCTCTATCCTTGTTCGCTCTGTCATTCTTTTTCTTTTTCTTCCTATGTCTACCTATGTCTACCTGCGTATTCGTTTCTGTCATCTTTGATCGAATGGCTGTCGCTTGCCCCTCGCATAAAAACGAATTTCGATATGGTTCGGTGATTCAGAATCGTTAATCTCACCTTTACACTATATAAAAAATTTGGGTATTCGATAATCGAACAAAATGTATCTCGTTAGTTTAATAGTCCAGTTCAGCTCCGTAGTTAGGGTAAATTCGAAACTTAAATCTTAGTTCCTTTGGCCTCTAATTTAGGGATTTTGTTCGGTCGGTAATAAAACGATCTCTTTTATCGATAACCTCTGAGCAAGAAAAGTCGCGTGTTGCGAGCACAGCCACAGCCAAAAGGTCGAGCACTCTCTTCACGCCTACATTGAAAGTAAAATCGTGTCTCTGTGTTATCTGTGATATGTCATCGGATGATCGTTGTTTATAACCTTGCCGTTATGTCCGACCTTCTCTCTCTTTCTCTCTTTCTTCCACTGTCACTTTTGTTCTGTTCTTTCTCTGTTGTTCTGTTTGTGTATTGTCATCTTGTCCTGTTTAGCGCTGAGTTCTTAGCTACTATTACTACGATCACCCTATATACCGTACCGGCCAAACCAAGTAATAGTATGTTTGAGAATCGTGTACTTTTTTACGTAACGATATATATCCTGTCTGGTCTTGTGTTGTTTTTGTGTTGCCAGGCTTGCACTTTTTTATGTACGTTGTGTATTTCATACCCCCTTGTTGAATTTGTCTCTAGTGACTTTTTGTCCCCTAGCATCTTACACGAACGCTGACTATTTGCGCGCCTCTTGCGTCAAGACATATATATTCTTGCGTTCCATTTTTTTGTTCAATTGTTCCTTTCCGTCGTTTATCGTATTAACCTGATGACATAAAATATACATCATATATATATATCTATATATAAAATACATACATTTGCGCAGAGGAGATATAATCGTATGAAATAAAACCAGATATAAAATATATATAACACGACGATGAAAACGAGAATGAGAAACGTATTCACGTCACGTTGCTTTGTTCCGAATCGACGGATCGGTAATAATTACGAAATCGGAACCGTTCAGCACACAGCTTTATGATACATAATATGATACGAAGGACCCGTACGTCCAATCCCTCCCTTGTCCCTTGTCTACGTCTGTTATCACCTGTCTACAATGTGCCAATAACCTCGTTACACCCAAAGCCCTGTGTCTGTCTTTAACCGATCCGTGCTATCTACCCACCGAAAGTATATCTCATACCAAAACACGACAGAAACCCTCTTTTTGAGAAGATCGATTTTGTCCGTATCCGTCCGTAGTTCACACCGAAGCCGGAAATAATTTCTCATAGTTCAGAAGACGGCAAGTGATTTTCTTCGAGTAATAATTCGCGGTTTGAATGTTTCGATTTTATACAAAGATTTGAAAAAGAGAAAAAGAAGAGATAATTTTTGATAAAATTGTTCGAGCATGTGGTATCATAATCGCGAACGGGAGATAAACGAATATCTAAAGGAAAGAAAGAAAGAAGAATTTTCGAGAAAAAAAAGAAGAAGAAAAGAGAAGGTAGAAAGAGGAAAGTCGTTGACACGTTTGAAAGTTGCGCGCGCGCGCGGGAGGAAAAGAAAAATGACGCGATGAAAGATGTCGTATCGTCTAGTCATGCAGCGAGAAGGAGAAAAATTCCAAGCTAAGAGAGACAGAATTCGGCATTGCATCGGGGAGTATATCGCGATCTCTCTGTCGAGACACCGTTCGTTCTTTTATTTCCTTTCTTTACTGTTTTCCTTTGTTTTTCTACGTTTCTATTATTCAGTCTTGCACACGTCTAGGTTCGGTGCTCGCCGCCAGATGTCGGTGTGTCTCGAGATTGATCTACATATATATACATACAGAATATATCACGTATATATCTGTTTCTCTTTTCTTTCCGTTTCGTTCTTTCGATTCGGTTGGAACTGTTTTGCGTTTCCTTTTTATACCATTCACTATGGTTTTGGATTTTTCTTCTTTTTACCAGTAGTGACGACTGTGCCTGCCACCTTGCTGTGCTCGTGCTTGGAGGATCAGCACCTCGGTAATGTTTGATCCCCAAGTTGCTGAAGGAACAAGAACGGTGGCATGGTGCGCGCAACCGGAAGTGCGCGGCTTTGGTTGCTTTCCGACACGATGTGATCGAATTATGCGATCGTTTGCCCATTCGACGATCCGAATATCGTCGTACTCTCGATTCACGGGGGAATGTGTGGATCCTCCAAGAGCGAATCATGCCCCATACGCAATCCCTTAGGAGAATAGAAGAATATATTTTTGTAACGTGAAAATAATTGGGAAAATATATAATGGAGAATGAGTCTGAAAAAATGTCTATATGATTGGAGGGGAAAATCTAGAATTAAAACAATGTTGAAGATATCATGGAAAATTGATTATCAGATTCTGTAATAAATCAATCGAGATAAATTACCTCTGTCAACATGATGTTGTTAGGAAATCTTTTGTCACAAATATTTCCCTTGATTTTGGAAATGGTAAATGTTTGATGTAAATATTTAAGCATCCCTCTAGACTCATGTCACGTATGTAGATAAAAATATTCCATTTGACGATCTGTAACGAATTATCATTGTTAAAATATATTAATATAGAATTTTTACATTATAGTAAATAGTCAAAGTTCAAATGTGAAGATACAATTCTATACAAAGTCGCAATTTTATTTAAATACACGTATATTATATTAAATGAAGATATTCAGTTGTAAATTATCTATTTAATTATAAGAATATTGAGAATAATAATTTCATTAATCATTATGATTTTTCAGTGTTACTAAATCTCAAGTTTCAGCCTTGCAAACATTGCATATATCAAATCTCACTATTTTCTTATTATTCAGTGTATATATTTAGCACTTGTTAATAATGATTAATAACTTATGTTAATATAATACACAATCTCTATATATTTGTCACACAGCATCCTCCAATCGAATATTTTTATACGATTTTTTACTGAGTATGCAACCACGAATCTTACTAGCGTTGTGGTTCAGTCGGACATTAAATGAGGTTAAGTTCGAACGCGCGTACCTTGAATTCTTGAATTCGTAACAAGCTTGAAATTACAATCTTGGCATAAATTTGTATAATTTCGATAGATACGATACTTGCTTCCGATTTTTCATTCGAATCAGTGTCCTGGAAGAAAATACAAAGGTGTAATTAAGTATCGCTATGTACAATATTCTCGTTCGTAAGCGTTGTTATACTCCTCATTAGACGACGCACGATATAACAAGCTCCGTACGTATGCATCCGATACACAGCATATTCTCTATATATTATTATTACCATCATCATTATTATTATTGTTATTATCTTACCTACCTACATCGATCTCATTATATTCAGCACTATACACAAATCGCTTAAAATATTCAGCTTCAACATACTCCAACTTTAATATATCGCAGATAATCCAGCCCTGAAAATTATTACGTACATATTTTTCATTGCCTTTATTACGTATCTATTTATACATGATTATATATGCATGCAGTTCTACTCTCACGAAAGTTAACCACCCGTCCTTTATTTATTATTATTATTACCTGCCTCAGGTCGATCGTGTTCTTTTTTGCTCCCGAATTGACAATCTGCTCGATACTTGAAAAAAAAAAAATAAACTACCCACGATCAAGCCAAAAAAAAAAAAAAAAAAAAAAAAAAAAAAAAAAACATAACCTCTAAAGAATGCAACCATGAACAAAATACCATGCAAATTGCAAGAAAGTGAATGTGACTGAAAGAAAATGTTCCCGCGTCGTTGCCAATACGATACGCGACAGTTATCCAAGCCCGACCGAGAAATTGACACCGGCGACATCTGGTTTGGCGCGTACATACGGCGCCGCCTATTGTTCCGTTTGTAAAATCAATTTGTATCGCTTCTGGATTCGACGAGAGGCATTAGCTCCTCTTGTGCGAGCTAACGCGGCCGGTAAATGCCGGTTCGAATAGAGTTGCGGATTGTATTGGCAGCGAAGTGAGAATATTGGATCGCATTGAACCGTTGACCGCGGAAGCTGATTTGACAGACAGAATCGATTGTTCGCGCTTTCGACGTCTGTGCCTTGGGATATATACATTGGACAATCGAAATTTTAGTGGACAATTTCCTTTTTCTTTTTTTTTTTTTTTTTTTTTTTTTTTT